GATAGTAAGAATTCTTTTACAAGTTATTGGCGATCTCATGCGTCCAGCATTTAAGACCTATCTCCGTGTTACCTGCAATGTCAAAAATAATGGAAAAGATGGTAACTAAACAAATTGCTTCATTTCTAGATGACTTTGATATATTGCCTAAGCTACAGTCAGGGTTTAGAAAAAACCACAGTACTTGTACTGCACTGACTAATATGTTTGCGGATCTATTCGATGCCAAAGATAAAGGCCTGTACAGCACATTAGCTATTCTAGATTATTCCCAAGCATTTGACTATATTGATCATGAATTGTTATTGGCCAAAATGAAGTGCTATGGCTGTAGTGGAAAAGTTGTTTGTTGGTTTCGGTCCTATTTGGAGTCCCGACTGCAGGTTACCAAAATTGGGAGTGAGACATCAGATCCGCTTTGCAAATTGCGTGGTGTTCCTCAAGGTAGTTGTTTAGGACCTGTGCTGTTCAATTTGTACACGTCTGACTTGTCCAGAAGTGTAGAATATTGTACAGCACATTTGTATGCTGATGACTGCCAACTACACTTGTCATACAAGCCAGACAAGACATCAGAAGCAATCCGGCTCATCAATGCTGATTTGCACAGCATTTTTCAATGGTCTGTCATGAATGGCCTTGGATTGAATGTTGACAAGTGTGTAGTCATGCATACTGGACCAAACATTATGATGCAGGAATTGAGTAAATCTGCTATAGAAGTCACCCTTGATGGCATGAGATTGTCTGTTTGCGACACTGTCAACACACTTGGTGTTGTACTTGACAAAGACCTCTCTTTTTCTGACCATGTCACATCTGCAGTTCAACGCGCAGTGGGTAGACTGAGAGGTCTTAGCAGATTTAAAACTACTGCCAGAATATGCCAAACAAAATGCAACTCATGCGGTCCTTGGTCCTCCCAGCCTTTACATATTGCTTTCCTGCATATGGAAACAGCATCTCTAAGGAGGATATGGCAAGAGTTCAAAGAATTCAAAATTCTGCTATAAGGTTCATTTTTGGCCTTAACCGCTTTGACCACGTGTCCTCCTTCCGAGATGCTGCAAAGCTCATCCCAATGGATGAAATGTGCAGGAGGCTGACCTGCTGCCTGGTCCACAAAGTGCTCACGCTGGGAGAGCCTTTGTACCTCAGCGAGAGGCTTAAGTACAGGGGGAGATCTGCCTGCGTGGTACTCGTTCCGACCGCAGGCTTTACTTTCCTAAAGTGAGGCTTGAGGTTGGAAGAAAGTCATTTTCTTATTTTGGCCCGCAGTTGTATAATGGCCTCCCTCAGGACATAAAGAGCTCCAAATCGTATGGCTCATTCAGGGCCGCAATGCAGAAAAACAAATGTAATTTGTAAATGTCTTTTCTTTGTAGTTATGTTGTACATTATATTTCTGTATATATTAGGTTAGTTTAGTTTTAGTTTGACTTGAGTAAGTTTGAAAATCATGTATATGAAACTCGCTTGTAAATAAAGGCCTTTTTATTTATTTATTTATCTATCTCTAAATGAACAGCTCTTGTGACTAAACAGGTGAATATGCAACTGTAAATTTTCAAAAGTTCAACTCTAGAATCCAACTCTAGAATTCAACTCCAGAAGAGGGCCAAAGTAGTCAAGTCCTGTAATTTGGAAGGTATACTTTCAGTCACCCGTTCTGTTGGAAGAGAGGGTATTTGGGACAGCTTGTATGGTCCACCTTCGTATTTTAAGCTTTTCAAACATTTTTGCCGAACCCAGTTGACTTCAGCTCTGCCATGGATTATCCAGAAGGATTTCCGAAGTTCTGAGAGGGTTTGTTGCACTCCCATGTAAAAAATCTTACAGTGACACTCTTCTATGAGCAGTCGAGTAAATATATCGTTCTTTGGTAGAAGTATAGGGAACTTACAATATTCTTCAAGGTCTGCATTTGAGATCCTACCCTTATATCTTATAATTCCATTAATATCAATGAATAGGCCAAGTTGATTCTGCAATCTATCATACCTACCATCTCTTATAATCCTTAGTGTTTCACTAAAAGATGTGTTTTGAACGTGTTTAATCCATGATAAATGAGCATCTTTGAGTTCTTCAGATGTAGGAATAACATAATTAGGTAGTTTATTCCGTCTGCATCCACTTATAAATCTTTTACAATTTGAAAGTGATGAAAACCTTTGTATATCTATGCCAAAAGGACTCACGTCTTCGGTCTTTGTAGTCAAGGTGACGACGTTTTCTTCAATAGCTTCAACAATATCGTCTTCAGTTCATTAACCGTTCATGAACCTTCAGTTCAAATCAGAAGACCAATCCGGCCACAAGTCTTGAATACAAGAAAGCCATTGTGGATCTGACCACCATTCATTGCAGTGTTTCAGATTATCCACCGTTTTACCTCGAGTCGCCATATCAGCTGGATTTTCGTCAGTAGGAACGTATCTAAATTGCGTCTCTGTGTTGGTTTTGAACTTTTGATCTCTATTACTCTTCTCTCCACAAACTTAGGAAGCAGCTTTGTTGTGTTAAGCCAATGTAACATGCATTGTGAATCAGTCCACAGTATCTTATTTACAACAGGAAGTTTTTAAGGATAATTCAACAAAACGTAACACTCTTGTTCCAATCAACACGCCTAAAAGTTCGAGTCTTGGAAGGGTAATTTTCGGCTTTGACTTTGGGGTTAAATGGCTTTTACAAAACACGAGAGTCACTTTGACAGTCTCCTTATTAATTAATTTGATATAAACAGCACACGAATATACATCCTTTGATGCATCCGTAAAACAATGGAGTTCTACATGATCTGCTCGTAATCCTGTGAATCGAGGAATAGAAACTTCAGTTACTTTAAGAATATCATCGCATATAATATTCCATTTTCCATTCCCTACATTTAGGCTCCTCTAGTATTTCGTCCCAGTCCAAATTGTCTTTCCACAACTGTTCCCACAACTGAGAAAGAGTTTAGCCTTCAGTGTTATGGGGGATAATAACCCTAAGGGATCAAAAACTGATGATATAGTACTTAAAACTTATATTTTTGAAATATGTTTGTTTCTGTCATTGTTAACAGGTTTTATATGAAGAATGTCAAGATTGTTGTTCCATTTTAATCCAAGAACATTAACATCAGTAGGATTCTCAGTTGTCGTTTTTTTCCATTGGTATTTGTGTCATCAGTGTCTTTGAGTTTGAAGACCAACATCTAAGGTTCATGTTAATATCAGAGAACAAACTATAAGCAGTTGTAAATAGTGTTGTGGCGTCTTGATCTATGTCACATCCGGTAACCATATTATCAACATAAAATGAAGGCTTCAACCTTTCATTAAGATTATCAAGTTCACAAATTGACAAATGATGAAAAACAGTAGCACTGAGTAAAAATGGACTGGATATGATTCCGAACGGAACCCTACAAAATTGATACTCATCAATATTATCATTAGTAGGTGCTGACAAAGGATCTTTGATCCACAGAAATCTAGTTACATCTCTATCTGGAGTTTGGAGATTTATTTGAAGGAATACCTTCTCAATATCAGCAAGAATTCCAATAGCATTCATTCTAAAACGTAAAAGTAAACTACATAGGTTTTCCAAAATTACAGGTCCACGGCAAAGACATCATTAAGACTATTGTTGCCTTTTCTGGTTTTGGCTGCCGCGTCATACACTATCCTGAGTTGAGTTGAGGTTTTCGACTCAGTGATAATAGGGTGATGAGGTATATAGTGAAGAACTCCTATTTCGTTTCTGTCTGAAAACTCACTCGTTCGATTATACCTTATTTCGATTGGGTTTGAATTACCGAGTCAAATTCACTTAGAATATTATGTTTGTCTGAAAGTCAAGTTAAGTGTGGTCTGTTAAAGATTTCAAACGACCGAGAGAAAGATTGTAGTTTTTTGGTAAATTTGGGGGATAATCTTTCCAAGGCCAGGAAACTGAATAACAACCATCCTAAAGTTTAACAGTTTCATTAAATTTATTCAATGCGATATCATCTTTCACGTGTGGGTCATCCTTAATTCCAATAGTCTCGAATTGCCACAAGTTTTTGATGTCGTCACCTTCACAAATATTGATATCTGGCTTTAAAGTTTGTGGTGACCTAGGAAATAGGTTGTTGGGTTCTACTAGAGTAAGAAAAGATTACTCGTACATCAGAGGGAAATGATCATTGTTATCGTTATGCCTATCAGTTACGATCCAATAAAATGAATCTTTTCAGTTCTAAGAACTGAATAGAAAATGCTTGTTTAAAAAACTGTTGTAGGTACAGTATATATTATTACAGTTAGTTGAGGTGTCATTCCTTATTTGATTTTGTTTACTTTGAATCTGCAGATAGATGTAGAGGATAGGCTTACTTTGAACAGTTTTCTAGAATCTATACACTTTTTAAAGGTCTCCATACCAAATATACATACTCATATGGTTATATTTTGTACTTTGTTACATCATATCATTGACTGTTGGATATTGAAGTTGTAATAATAGTCAATCATATACATTGTTTAATAAACTTTTAGATTGGGGAAGCGATGAATGCATGTAAGATGATAAGCTTATGCTTTTGACTTTGAAGTCAGTAATAATAATGAGTTTAAATTGGTGGATTATTTTAACAATTCTATTTTACAATTCAATCCACACTCTACCATGCTTGGAAAAGTATATAGTTTTTACTTTTAAACTGTATAGATGATAAAGGAATTAATGTTTATTAATAAATTCAAATTGTAACTTTCTTTTTTTCACTCCAAACATTATGTTTAGCCGGATACTGCCTCTATATTTCACTAGGTAACATCAAAATGTTTCTCTACTTAATCTTACAAGAATGGGTTTTGAAAAAAAACAACTACAGGTACCTTACCTTATCTTAAACCCCCCCCCCCACCAAATTTAATATTTGTAAATTACATTTTAGCTTGTCATAAAAGTTGTCAATCATTTTACATGCTTGTAGTGAACTATGCCGGTGTTCTGTGTAGATGAGTGTGAAGGAGACCAGTGAAGGTTTGGAGCGAGCCATTGACCATATGTGCCGCAAGACTAGAGATCTGCGTCGTCAACTGCGCAAGGCTGTAGTTGACCATGTCTCTGACAGGTCAGTATAATACAGGGTGCGCCAAAATAACCTGACGGTTTTTAATACTAAATAACTTAAGAACAAAATACAATTTTATGTACTAAATAATGTTATATTGTACTCAATACTGTGCCATTTACATTTATGAAAAATTATATTTTTATAATAACACTTAGGTGATGAACTTCCCCTAAACGCAGGCTTCCTATTTTTTTCATATTTGCAGTCAGCTTCGCCTGATGAATAAAAGAAATTTCTTCCCTGATGCAGTGCTTGAGTTCAGGGATGGTTCGAAATTTCGAAACAAACACTTTGCTTTTTAAGTATCCCCATAGCCAAGAGTCACACTTAAGTCACGTCAGGAATTAAGTCTGGGGATCGAGCTGACCACAGCTCATCACCAAACCAAGAGATCACTATATCGGGAAAGAGTTCACGCAAAACTGTCATTGAATAATTGGCTGTATGACAAGGTGCGCCGTCCTGTTGAAACTATGTGTTGGTCATGTCTTTCCCTCCTAACATTCGCAGTTGTGGAATCAAAAACCCCATCAGTATTTCCACTTAGCGTTCCGAGTTTACAGTGACAGGGGGGTGTTTCCACTTTCGTCCTCAAAAACATATGGTCCGATGACTCCAAACAGTACCACACCACACTAGACAGTAACTTTCTTTCGACGAAGTGATGTTTCACCAAACATAACCTAAAAATGGCATAACATAAGCAATCGTTCACTACAACAATGAGGTCTCTAGCTAGTATAACAGCTGACTTATTACAAAACAGAAACCGTCAGGTTTTTTTGGCGCACCCTTTATATCACTTTGAAATAGGGATGGTCTGATGATCTCAAAACTTCCTTGATACTTACAGTAGTTGAAAATTTGTCATTATTCGGATTCCACCATAAACTGTAGGTCCCTTAGTTGTCATTAGCTGTATGGGCTATTAATTAACAGCTGTGTCTTAGGAATATGTCTGCTTAGTCACTAACAAGACTACAAGATCGCGCCACTCATCCTACACTCATCTCCATTCATACTTGGCTTAAAATACCTACTTTGTATGGTCGCCATTTCATTGAAAAGTATTAAAGTATTAAGTATTAATTATTTATTTATTTATTGAGTTACATGTCAGATCATTATAGTAACATGACATATTGTCAATGGTTAAATAAAGACTTAAAACTAATACATCTGTATTTACACAAAATCAACCAAATCTTCCCAAAACACAAAATTTTTACATGACAAAAAAATTGAGCTAGAAGGAGTGGGAAGGTTTATTTATACCTAATTCCAGCAGTCCTCAAAATAATCTGCCAATGAAAAAAAAGATTCTTTTAAAGAAAGTCTAAACTTAGAGGGATTTCCTAGAGTAATTAAACTTGTTGGTAAGTTATTTAAGATTGTTGGACCAATGTGTTGTGGTGATAACTCGAGTATTTGTAAATTATGAGCTTCAGGTTTGATAATATTCTTTTTTCTTGTATTGTAATTTTGAGTTTGGGTCTCCATAAAAGTGGAGAGGTTTCTTTGGACCCAGCATGCTATTTCCAAAATATAGTGATCATAAAAAGTTAGAACTTGAAAGTTTTGAAACAGTTTTTACTAGGGGTTCTAGGGGGAACTTTGCCAATAATTCGTATTACTTTTTTTTGTAATTTAAAAATATTTGTTGAATAAGGAGAGTTACCCCCAGATCAAGATACCGTATGTCATTAATGATGAGAAATATGCATTTGATTTGATTTGATATATTATTAGCTGGGTTTCTAGATTCGTTACTTGTGAGATTATTCTTATTGAAAAAATGCAAGGGTCTAATTTTTTACTTACATTTTCAATTTGAGATGCCCATTTAAGATTATTATTCAAAATTAATCCGAGGATTTTTACATTTTGTTGTGGAGATAATTGATGATTTGAAAGGATAATATGATTTGAATCATCTTCCCTGTAGTTAGCCGAAAAGTTTATAATTTGTGTTTTTTCCACATTTAGGGCCAGACCATTTGCCCACAACCAGTTACCTAGAGCAGAGAATTCTTTGTCTATGCTAGTCTGCAGGAAGTCAATAGTGGGTCCTCTACACAAAAGCATTGTGTCATCCCTACATATTGAAAAAGTTCCATCTTTGTTATATTTGGCAGATCATTTACATAGATCAAAAACAAAGAGGGACCCAATACTGACCCCTGCCTGTGGCAAACCACATTGCACTTTATCCCAAGATGAATTTACTTGTTGACCATTTTTGCTGATTTTAGTTCTCTGATATCTATTAGTTAAATAGGAAGAAAACCACAATTGCTCTTTTCCTACAACTCCAATTTTGCCTAGCTTTTCAATTAAAATTAAAATGTTGTAGATTTTTTTTAAATTTACTTGTTTTATTTCTTTGATGTTATTTAAAGATTATCCCCCAAACTGATGATGGTAATTTTGTTTTAAAAAGGTTTATGAAGTAAAGATGTCAAGTGAATTAAGAGTTGCGAGAGTTTAGTTTAAGTTCTCATGTTACCATGTTGTACAGTAGTATGTCAAACAAAAAAAATATGTTATTTATGATTTTGTTTAAAGTCATTTAGCTAATTTAGTTGCACAGTAGAACCTTGATTATCCCGGGGTAATGGGTGGAAGGAGACCACGGAATACTGAAACCACGGTTAACCCTTCCCGGACAGGTGACAGATATATCCGCCTTCTTTTTAGACAGACTGGCAGGTGCTTGAGCAGTAACCAGATGTTTCGCGGTTCAGTAATAAAAACTGTAATGTTTAAAACCACAGCTTGCTCAAACTTTTACTGAAACAATCAAAATTCCTAACACTGTGTAGCAATAAATTACGCAAATAACAGATTAATAGAAATTCTAATACCTCCTGCTAGTCATAGGCTAATGCTACAATGCTGTTTCAGGACAGAAGAATGTCGATCAAACATAACTTGTAAAATAGTATAAAACCATAGTAGGTACTTAACGATAATAATAACAGTCGTGAAATTAGATAAAGATAACAATGACAAAAAACATTGCTTATTCTTCCTCTTTGTTCTTCTATTCTTTCCTGGGTATCTCTTCATACATACATTCAACAAATTTGTCATGGTTACTAACCACCCAACCAAAGGCTACAAAAGCTGCCATGGCTACTAATCACCCAATCACAGGCTACTAAAGTTGTCATGGTTACTCATTGCCCAATCACAAACTGTTGTGACATAGCAAGCGCACATCAGACAGATGTATGAGGATACGATTGGCAATGCAAGCACCAAACCGATAGCTTGACCTTGAATCTATCCATCGATATTTCTTTGTTTTGCTTCCATTTATTTTTCATTTGAACTGTGATGTTCCAAGAAAAAGCAATAATGTGAGATCCTACTGCAAATAAATTATTGACAGAATAGTTAAATATACAATGCATTCCAACACATTAGTCTAAAGTAACATATTTTATAACATTTTCTTGGACAATGAGGTTATTTAACCTAATTTTAGAGGCATCTATTGACCACTGTTTATCTGCTGCCCGGTTGATCCGCCCCCGGTCAATCGAGGTTCTACTGTACTGTGGATAACCTCTAACTTCTTCTTCCAGCTTCCTGGAGACAAGTGTTCCACTGTTGGTATTGATTGAAGCTGCCCGAGCTGGTAATGAAAAGGAAGTAGAAGAATATGCTGTGGTCTTCACCGAACATGCTAACAAACTTGTTGAAGTGAGTTCAGTGATGATAACCTAGAGTTATGGTAGAGTATTGTAGAGTTTCTGGTACCTGTATCTGTAACGGTTATCCAGTTGGTTCCAGCTCTTCTGTAGTTTGCTTCTCAGCTGGTCTAAGATTGTAAATATCATCTCTGGGCACCTAATACCTTAAACTAAGTCAAAGTCACAGTGTTAAGGGATCCAGCACTGCCCAGTAATCTCTATATCTAGGGACATTTTTGTAACATTAGATCATGTTACAACAAAAATATAGGTATGTAGGTAAAATAATATAAAAATACAATTGTCATACAGAATCATAATCTTATTCAAATGACGTCACATCTGTATGTGTTGCATCAACCTAAACTAAAGCTGTTGATTACGATAAAAAGGCACTTCCTCGTTTTATTTAGCAATTTTAAAGACCTGTAGTCACTTAAAAAAGAGACTGAAGTTTACTCAGTTACAAGTTTATTTTGTTTTTTACAGGTGGCCAACCTGGCTTGTAGCATGTCCAACAACGAGGACGGTGTGAAGATGGTTCGCTATGCTGCAGGTCAGATCGATGCTCTGTGTCCTCAGGTGATCAATGCTGCTCGTATCCTCGCAGCTCGTCCTCGTGTCAAGGTAGTGCAGGAGAACATGGATGTGTTCCGTGACGCTTGGGAGAACCAGGTCCGCATCCTCACAGAAGCGGTCGACGACATCACCACCATCGACGACTTCCTGGCTGTCTCCGGTAACATACACACATTAATTTTTCCATAATTCAACAAAATATAAATTTTACTATAAATTAGCTATCGTTTTGCATCCGACATATTCATTCCCACCATTGTTTATATTATTTTCTGATGGCCTCTCTCAGACCTTTACAGACCTTTGAATACCAATAGCCCAACATAATTAACTGTTCATTTTTTCTAAAAATACATAAGACAGATATCTAATTTAACTAAGCTAGAACTGTAATAAATAATTTTACCTGATTAGTTATTAGGCATAATCTTTTTACCTGTAATCACCCAAAGAATTAATATTCATCAGTTGGTATCGGCCAGCTGATTAGTGATTACTGGATTTTCAATCTCTGTTGTATTTGGGCAGCCATATGAGATCTTTAAAATAACATTGTCTGTCTAGAATTAAATAGACTTTTGTAAGCTCTAAACCAAATATTCGGAGCTATTTTTTTATGCTTGATAATTCTCTCAGATAAATATTATGGACTCACCTTGTTGTTTTCCAGAGAACCATATCCTGGAAGATGTGAACAAGTGCGTGTTGGCACTGCAGGAGGGAGATGGAGACACTCTGGACCGCACGGCTGGGGCCATCCGTGGCCGTAGCGCTAGGGTGGCCAACGTCGTCACTGCGGAGATGGACAACTATGAGCCTGGCATGTACACCATGCGGGTGCTGGAGGCTATCAAGGTGCTGCGGGACCAAGGTACATTACCATAATGTTACATTGAGGTAGCAACGCATAACATATTATCTTCTTGCATATTTTAATCTGATAGTGAGTAAAGGATATAGTATACATTGCAGTCAGATGTCTTGTACAGGCCTTTTTACCAAGACTCATTGACCAAGACCAACGGTTTCTTTGGCCAGGACTATTAATTAGAAATAAAGCATGAAGTTGAGAAGATCGAGATGTTTTGAAATTTTATTTGCATTTTACAGTGATGCCAAACTTTGCCCAACGTGTTGAAGTGGCAGTGGATGCTATCTCATCAAGCCCTCCCAAAGATGTAGATGAGAACGAGTTCATTGATGCCTCCAGGCTTGTGTATGACGGGGTGAGAGAGATACGACGTGCAGTCCTCATGAACAGGGTGAGACCAACTAAACACAATTCAGCTTGTTGTAAGATCTGGACAAAGGAACTTGTTTGGAAATTATTGGAAATCTTAAGCTGTAACATTATAATATGCCCACAATGCAAACAGTATATCACATCTATATATTAATTTGAAACTGTTTTTCTTTGTCACAGCTATTTTGAGAGAACGGCTGGGCATAGAAACTCGGTAGAGGTGTCTAAAGAAAGGTCTTGGTCTGGAGATGAGCCATCAAAAGAGAAACATGGTGAATTCCCTTGGGGCTCTGCCCCAGTGGCCTTTGAATTCCCATCCCATGTTATTCTTATGGAGGAAAACGGGGTTTTTGTCACTGCTAATTTGAGAGATCGGCTGGGCGTAGAAACTTGGTAGGGGTCTCTAAAGAAAGGTCTTGGTTTGTAGATGGGCCATCAAAAGAGGAACGAGGTAAATTCCCTTGGGGCTCTGCCCCAGAAGCCTTTAAAGTTGCCTCTTCAGATTTGTTTACATTACGACCATATGCATAATTCTACACTACTTTTTAATGGAACAGCTGTTAATATTTAAATTGTGATTTATTGAATTTGTCAAAATGAAGTACAGTATTTGCAATGGGTTTTTCTGATTTTAAAATGGATTCTCTTCTGCATCGTGTCATGTTTTGCAATATAATGTTCTATTAACAAATCAGTGGAAAATCCTAATATCACAGTAACTGTTGAAATTATTTCTTTTGGAGTTAACTTATATCTATTGTATGGGTTGGTTTCTGCCTTTTTTACCACTTCTTGGAGATTGTACGTAGGTGATATTCGTTGGCATATTACATCTGTAGACGAAACTTGGGTTGGTGTAATTATTAGAATGGTAAAGAGCGAGAAATCCTGGACAATTTGATATAGAGGCTAAAAATAAAACTGAATTAACACTGTTCTACATTTCTTGAGAAATCATTGAAATAACCGATTTGCAAACAATGGAAACATAGAAAAAGTCATATTACACAACCAAGTAGAAGAAATAGAAATAATGTTTTTTTTTTTCATTTATAATCGTTATCATAGACAACCCAATGCGGCTATGAGAGGGAAAAATTTGTAGAAAACGCTAAAAAAACAAGATCAGCTTTTTGAAAAAAGATAAGATATTTACAAAAGATTTTGATTATATCTAACTGTTGTGTAGATTGTGAGTATTTCCATAATCTTTGAGTCGCCTGTAATGCTTCGCAATTGCTCGAATTCGAGCAACAGGTACACTAGTATAATATTATTTTAAAACTGAAAAAAACACAATAAATATATTTTAGTCCTTAATTGATTTTATTACATAAAAGTAAAGTATATAATGCACTTTAGGTACGGCATTCTTTTGTAAAATGTTATAATAATCTCAATTATTTATCAAGAAGAAAGTGTTTTTGTGTAATATAGGCTATAGGGATGGACAAGATTGTATTTTTAGTTTGTGGGGCGGAATTTCCTTCACAATGTTTGGAATGTAACTTTTTTTAAGAGGTTGGTGGCCTCTTTTAACCTTGCATTTGCCCCCTGTGCGTGAAACATATCCAGCAAAGCAAGGGGTGAGCCGGTACTGTACAAGGGTGAACTGTACAGATAAAAAGTAGTGGCAGCAATCAGGATCCAAACCCACAACATCGCTGCCTTGGGCACGAAGTCTGTGACGCTGCCGACTGAGCCACGGACTCACTTCTTTCCGGGTTAACAGAGTTTTAAATCTTGAGTAAAAAATCTTGCAGATGGCACAAACAATACCCCTGCCACAGCAAACCTGCAAACTAAGGGAATTTCAATTTGTCTGATTGGCTATTAACTAAAATACTAGTTGCTCTGCCCGTGCTTCGCTACGGGGTGAGAACGCAGAAAATAATAATTTGGTTTTTCTTTAAGATACTATACTTACCAGGAAACATATAGGCAAAGGCTCAATCGTACTTATTGATTATTTAAATGAATATCTCTTAATGTAATACAGTACCCATTTTATACAGTGTATATAATTTAAAATATATGCAAAAGTATAACTTATTGACACATGGCACTAAGAAACAATTCTCCTTGTAAACAAATCAAATTAAATAGCAGAACAGCATTTATGACAACAGCTGGAGTTTCATAACATTGTTTGTTTCCCATGTTAATCTTATGGAGAAATACGAAACTTTAAAGGGCCCCAGGACCTCACTCTCTAATTATTTCCCTATAAAAAAAGTTTCCTGCACAACTTCACGTTACGCTCTTTCCAATGACACCAAAAACATGTCAATCGGTTCAGTAGTTTCGGAGGAGTAATTGTCACAAAAAATCTGCTTGCGTATTAAATAAGTATAGATTTCCAAACAAGATTTATTCTAATTTAAATAACATTATATTTAATGAGTACTTAGGTTTGCTGCTACAGGTAGGTTCAAAAGTCTTATTTTGACCAAATTAGTGATAGTAGCCAATAGTATGAAATAAATAATTATTTTCCTCATAAGAATAACATGGGAATTTTAAATGTACAGTTTTTTTTAACTTTCTCTGTAACCTTTAATTGTACAACAAGGCATCAATATACAAAATTAATTGTTTTTAAAGCTTCACAAGATAGTCTTATTACAAATTAGGCATTTCCATGTTTTACGGGTAAAAATTTGAATAAAACCCATTTAAAAACATCAAAGTACCCCTTTCCCATTACCCGATCTTGCTGGTTCGCAATCTGTTTCAAGTTTATCCCCCCCTACTCCTTCAAGCCAAATTTCATCTAAATCAGACAAAAATTACTCGATTTATTGCGTTCACGGACATATATATATACTAGCTGTTGTACCCGTGCTTTGTAATGGAAAGAAGACACCAAATAGAAATATATTTTTTCCTACAGTCTCCCAACAATGTTGGCTTCCTTGTACTGTTTATAGTACAGAAAGCTGCTAATTGCTGCATATTTATACTTTGCCGTACGGTTTATACTTTGTCGTACGGTTTATACTTTGCCGCACATCAGGATTCCAACGAAACAACACAAAACAGCGTGGTTCTATTATGCACGTAATCCGTGTACGCTTGGAAATAGGTTGGCAACACTTAAAGATAATAATACTATGAGCAGCTGATTGACTATCATAACTACGATTTAACCTGTCATTTTGTGTTTATAGTTTCGGTATTTTGCAATTTCTGAACTTTCTGGACTTTTCTTTTAAACGTTTTTAAAACATTCCTACGATCTTAATAAACAAGAAAATACCTTTAAAGCATTTTTTTTAGGCGCGGAAACCACTTCAAATTACAAAAACATACGGAACTATATTCTCAAAACGCGGAGCACATTTCTTACCGAGGAAAAATCGCGGAGTGATACGGACCGCGGGTACTACTTTCTCTAGGGCACCATTTGTGTTGCCAGCTGAACCTAAAAACGTGTTGTATAGTGTTTGAAAGACTAATTATTTATTTGCTTTATAGTGACTGTAGGAAAAATATAATGTGTAACACGAGTGAAAAAGGCCTTTGCTGCACTCGAGATCATTCCACACTCGCCTGCGGCTCGTGCGTAAACATTGCTCTCGTGTGCAGCAAAGTGCCACTTTCACCACTAGTTACACAAATAACTATTGTCTTTACATCCGTTATATAAAATAGTTACACATCTGCCAACGCTTTTAGAAACAAAAATCTATCTTAATAGCCTTTATAGGACAAGGACATTAATTAATTTACATAAGTACTAGCTGAGTACCCGTCCTTCGTATGGGGTTGGTATACAATGCTTATTGTAGTTAAATACTCGTGCTTTGCATTTGCAATGAGAGAGGACACGTTTTGAGAAAATTTTGTTTACTATAATCTACAATATACTATCTATATACAGGGTGTCCCGGAACTCTCTACCAATATTTTAGGGTATTGCTCCTGGGTAAGAAACATGCCTAAATATCATATTTAAATTGTCCGGAAGTCCTTAGTTACTCACACAGCCACCATTTTGTTTTTTCAGTTATTAATTTTTTTCTAAAGAGTGGTTAAACATACGGAATGGAAACTTTGCACAAACATTTATGACAACTAGACAAAGCTACAAAAAAATTATGACGATTTTTCAAATTCATAAAACAAAATGGCGGCAATTTAAAATTTTGTTTCTTAATTAACTCAAAAACCGTTGATTTTACAAAAATTGTAAATGGCCACCATTTTGTTCTATGAATTTGAAAAATCTTCATAATTTTTTGGTAGCTTTGTCTAGTTGTCATAAATCTTTGTGCAAAGTTTCCATTTCGTATGTTTAACCATTCTTTAGAAAAAAATTAATAACTGAAAAAAACAAAATGGCGGCTGTGTGAGTAACTAAGGACTTCCGGAAAATTTAAATATGATATTTAGGCATGTTTCTTACCCAGGAGCAATGCCCTAAAATATTGGTAAAGAGTTCCAGGACACCCTGTATATAAAATCCAATGTATGTTTTTTATTTGTTTATCCTTTATGCACTCCGAAACCGCTCGACAGATTGTAATGAAACTTTCAGGCATTATTAAGCATTATTCAAGGATGGTTTGTGTGAAGTTTGGTGCAGATCCGTCAAAAGGGCTCCGCCCCAGTGGCTCTGGAGTTTCCCATGTTAACCTTATGAGTATTCACTATTCATATTTAAATTGAATTAAAGAATCTTAACAGCTGGTTCAACTAAAGAATTTGATTCTGTGATGTTCAATAGCATAAAAAATTAATAGGTTTGCCAACAGGGTGCAGCACTATTATTTTTTTTAATTTATGACAACAGCTAATTTGGAATCAAAAGGTGAGTGAGCGTAGCGAACGAACTTCAACCAGAACGTGATTGAACGATGCGAACGAGGTCATCTTGAAAATGAACGAGCATTTGACATAAAACCACATTAGGACAGGACGACGTCTGTCGGGCCAGCTAGTAGTATATAGAACATCTACCAAAGCCATAATGTTCTACCACTTCACCTAAACAATAGAAAGAAGTAAAGTTCTCACACTCAGGTTTTTGTTGCTGCTTGGTTCAATCAAATTAGCTGTTGTCATAAATGTATAAATAACTAATGGTGCTGCACCCTGTTGGTAAACCGTATAACCTTTTAATGCTATTGAATATCATAGAAACAAATTGTGTAGTTGAAACAGCTGGCGAAATTATTTAATTCCTTTTAAATATGAATACTCATAAGGTTAACATGGGAAACTCTAGAGCCGCTGGGGCAGAGCTCGAAAGGATTTTTGGGGTAAGAATATGTCTATATGTTAATCGGGAATGTGGGCTATCATCATACCAAATTTCAACACAATCCGACCAGTAGTTAATGTGTGATTGAACTTCAAACAAACAAACACACAATCTTTCACATTTATAATATTAGTATGATTCATCTCTAATTTGTCAGTAAATCCAGTCTTTTGTGTGATTTTAAATATTCAATTAATTCTTTTTAAATGGAAATAACCAAAGTTATTATCTATATCTATACTTATTTAATACGCAAGCAGGTTTTTTGGGGCAATTACTCCTCCGAAACTACTGAACCAATTGACATGTTTTTGGTGTCATTGGAAAGAGCGTAACGGGAAGTTGTGCAGGAAACATTCTTTTTAGGGAAATAATTAGAGAGTGAGGCCTAGGGGCCCTTCAATGTTTTGTATTTCTCCATAAGATTAACATGAGAAACAAACATTGTTATGAAACTGCAGCTGTTGTCAGAAATGCTGTTCTGCTATTTAATTTAATTTGTTTACAAGGGGAATTGTTCCTTGGTGCCATGTGGTCAATGAATTATACTTTTGCATATATTTTAAATGATATACACTATATAAAATGATAGTACTGTAATACATTAAGAGATCTTAATTTAAATAATCAATAAGCAGGATTGAGCCTTTGCTTATATTTTTCCTGCTAAGTGTGTTGTAACTGTTTCTCATAGTATATTATAGTATCTTAAAGTAAAACCGAATTATTCTTTTCTGCATTCTCACCCCGTAGTGAAGCACGGGCAGAGCAACTAGTACTTATTTAATAGGCAAACAGGTTTTTTGTGACAATTACTCCTCCGAAACTACTGAACCGATTGACAAGTTTTTGGTGTCATTGGAAAGAGCGTAACGTGAAGTTGTGCAGGAAACTTTCTTTTTAGGGAAATAATTAGAGAGTGAGGCCCTGTAGTCCTTTAAACTTTCGTATTTCTCCATAAGCTTAACATGGAAAACAAACATTGTTATGAAACTCCAGCTGTTGTCAGAAATTAAAAGTGAGAAGAAGAACATAATTATGCTAATTGCAAACAGTTAATAAGTTTGCTAATTTAACAGTTTGCTACAAACATTTACAGACTTGGTTGAAATTTGTTTTAAAATAACACCTGCAATACTTAGCAATTGCTCGAATTCGGAGAAACAGGCACACTAGTAGTCATTTAGTTGTCAAACTGCAGATCTAAAATCATTCTACCAGTTATTGAGGATCAAAAGAGGACAATGTCTTTATTATGAATGTTTGATATTATTGTTTTTCATTTCAAATATGCTGTCTGTGATTAGTTATTATTGTAATTTGAATCAGTGTGGTTCTGTGATTTTATGTTGATTAGACTGACGAGGAGTTGGATCCTGAAGATGTAGAACTCGATGAGCAATACACAGTCGAGACACGCAGCAAATGTAAGCACTGCTGTTGTAGCTTGTTGTAGAGTTGTGGCTGTTGTTGTTGTTGTTATGATGTGCTTGCTTGATGTCGTTTGCAGAGTTCAGAGGAGTTAGACACAGACACTGAATTTGAACCTGGTGAAGACAACATGACCATTGATAACAGAAGCCGATGTAAGCCTTATTGTTTTATTCCTTTGTAAAAATACTCAAGTTGAAAGTACTGTCTATGAAATTGTACTGAATCATTAGGTTAATTTTATTTAAATTGGAACAGTAAAAAAATTTGAAAGATTTTTTGGGCAGTGAAAAATAGTAGTGATTAATAATCTCGTACAGTAAAAATTAAATAGTTCGAAGACCTACATTACAATTTAAACTTTTCAAAAATCTAAGTTAGGTAAGTTTTGTAGTTAAGTGTTTGAAAATTGAAAAATTACACTTAGTGATGTTCCATTTTTAACAGTTAGGTTCTGGTTCAGTTCTTGGCCGAAAACGGTTCTCGGTTCCTGCTTCAGGTATAAAAAAAATTGGAAAATATACAAACGGTCAAATTTATTTTTAACACGAGTTTATTTAACAGATTTTTTTAGCAGTTTTTCCACTTCTTGATAATATTTTAGAATAGAGATGTGGGGATGTCCAAATAATCGGATCGGATTCGGTTCACTTGGATATATTGGGGCGAGCTGTCTAGTGTCTACGACTACAACCAGTATCAAAACATTCATATACACATCGCCGGTTCTTGGCCGTGAACAATAATTGAGTCAACAAACAAAAATACTTTAATATCTACGTAACGAGCAATACTGCAAACCAATGAATCGGAAACAAGACAGTTTCAGTAGAACCTCGATTATCCGGGGTAATGGGTGGGAGGGAGACAACGTATAACTGAAACCAAGGTTAATCCAACATGACATACAAACGTCTAAAACTGCATAAATGGACATTAATGTGATAATTTGCATATAACATCATCAAAATACAATTAGTAGGCTATTGCGCAATCATGAATTTTAAGTCATGAACCTTGATCCAGTAGTAAGTAATAAAAACTAAGACATTTAAAATCACATCTTACTCAAACAAAAAAAACTTGACTTTTATCTTGAAGCTATCGATCTTCTTTGTCTTGCGTACATTTTATTTATGTCAAATGAACTTTTATGTTTCAAAAGCAATAATGTGAGAGCCTACTGCAAATAAATAATTTGCAGAATATTTAACAATGCATTCCAAGACAAAAGTCTAAAGATACATATTTTATAAAATTTTTTTGGACAGTGAGGCTAATTTTAGAGGCATCTATTGACCTGGGTTAATCCGCCGCCCGGTTGATCCACCCCCGGTTTATTGAGGTTGTACTGTATTGAAATACGCCATCAACACATTAGAAATATGAAAAACGTAAAAGTCCAGTTGAGCTAAATATTACTAGTAGGGATGGACGAGATTGAATTTTTAGTTCGAGACGAGACGAGACGAGATTTTTTATTTCTCATAAAATTTCGAGACAAGATTTCTCTTCTCATACACAACGGGAAATGCACGTTCGAAATTTTTACCTGATTTTGTAACAATGTTAGATGACTGTTTAAATACTAAAATAATGATAATAGGCAAGAATATTTACAATCTTTCATTAAATAACATCAGCATAACATGTTTTTATTAATCACGCCTAACTTATTAAAAATGCCTACGATTAGGAAACATGGTGATATCAGTTAGGATAGAGTTCAACTTATCCTAAAATAAAATAAATCATAAAATAAAAGCAATATTAATTTTTATAAAATAGTTACTTGTTTTGACTTTTTTTATAGTAATAAAACATTCCTCACACTGCTTACACTTAACAAAACTTCTCAAATGTTATTAAAGTAATATTATTAAAATAATGAAAGTAATATTTACATTAAAAGAATTAAAGTAATATTTACATTAAAAGAATTAATTAAATAAGAACGCCTTCGAAAAGGAAACGCAACTACAACACGCTCCTGTATTGCGGGTATTGCATTGACTTTCTGCAGGCGTTTTTAATTTTTTTTTTTTTTTTTTATTCTCGTCTCGATAAAAATCTCGGCCAAAAAGTAATCTCGTCTCGTGTAACGAGATTGAAAATTTCCCGAAAATTTCCCGAAATTTCGAGACTTGACCATCCCTAATTACTAGTAATCAAAATAACGCAACACTAAATTTTATCCTTGTATTTATTATTTTCATTCTTCAGTTTTACTTTTGACTAGCCTAAAATATTCGTGGCAGCTTAAAGAAGGAGCCGTATGACGAAATATCTATATCTCGTTTAGTTGTTATCGGCTGTTTTGCTTTACAATTCGATTCATCAGGAACAAACACACATAAAGCAGAAAATAACTACCGAGGTCGAATGAAAGTCAACTCGTGCTTGTCTCCTGATACTAGGGATGCTGCGTCGCCATAATAGTTTACAGCTATTATATGTATGAAGGCAAGTTTACAACTAACTGTTCAATAGTTCCGCCTCTGGCCACTTGGATGTTTTGCAGTACTGTTACCGTTTTACAGTAGACAACGACTTCTGTACTGTTATGTAAGAAATAGATTTAATGTTAAAAAAAGTCAGAATAGAAACTTTTACTAGAAAGGAGACGATAATAGAAGGGTGGGAGGAGTTGGGCAATGACCTTGAAAGGCGGGCCACGGTGAATCGAGTCGGGCGGGAGTAAGGGGTGGGTGCGACTTTGTAGGTTGAAACTATATTTAGACTAGCACCACTACCCTATTAAAATTATATTATAACTAGCTGTACCCGCGGGCTTTGCCCCGTTTAACTTCTTAATTTTCAAGATGAGCTCGTTCACATGGCTCAATCACGTCCTGGTTGAAGTTCGTTCGCTACGCTCACTCACCTTTAGGTTGGAGCTCATTCGCTGCGCTCACTTGCCTTCAGGTTAGCTCGTTCCCTACGCTAACTCGCCTCCAGCTTGAAGTTTGTTCGCTACGCTCACCGAACTTAATATAATATCCATATATATATAATACCCCCGCCGCAGCAAACCTGCCGTCTAAGCGAATTTCCATTTGGCCGAATTGATTTTCAATTGATCTATTTAAATAACATTAGGTTTAACGAGTACCTAGGTTTGCTGCTACAAGGAAACTAATAAAGTAGTGTGTTTTTAGTAAAATATTAATAGCTTACTATAAAATAAATAAATTTTACCAAGTTTGATCAAAATATATCCATAAACAAGCAAACTACAACATTTTACAATATTCTCCATAAGAAAAACATGGGAATTTTAAATTTACCATTTTTTTAGTTTTATCCGTAACCAATAACCGTACAAAAACACTTTGATATACTGAATTGTTTGTTTTTTTAAGCTCTTTAAGAAGGTTTAGAGAAAAATTGGGAAATTTTGTGTTTTGAGGGTAAAAAGTGAGAAAAACCAATTTTTACCCCATAAAACCCCCCATAAAACCCTGTTCCCATGGACCGATCATGCTGGATCGCGAACTCATTCAAGTTTATCCCGCCTTACACCTTCAAACCAAATTTCATCAAAATCGGATAAAAATTACTCAAGTTATCGTGTTCACGGACACATATATATACTTTTGTGCCCACCCGGTTTGGCAGTCAGTGCGCTGGTAATTTACTCGGTGTGGCAGTCACCCGCCCGAAAGCCAGTCAGCTCTCCCATAAGCCAGTCAGGTATGGCTTCCCGTGCACTTTATACGTATGAAAACAGCAAACCGGTGCTGCTGCCTGTGTCGATAAGCGTAACTGCAATACCAATGCGGAGACTGTCTCATCGTGTGTTCTATCGTGGAGTAGTGTAGCCAGTACGGCACCCTACCCTACTTTGTAGCGGTAAAACCCAGCGGTCTGTAACCTTCGTTTACTCCTTGTTACTATTTGTGTTGGGATAGTGATTAACTACGTGTTAATGTTTAAACATGTTCATACTCCAAATAAATATGATGCACCTCTAATAAGGATCGTCGAATATTAATTAATTATAATTGGTTGAATCTTGATCCTACCCGTTCATCATCTCATATTTTAAGTTATTTTGATTTTTTTTACCTTCAGTTGAAATTTTAGTCAACTTCTCCTTTATACAATATTTTTTATCCTAGTATTTACAGTGTTTCCACGGACCGGGAACTATACGGATTTTCTTTATCTCGAGAAATATACGTGAATCTTGTCCGAGATACTGGAACTGTTTTTTACGCAATTGTGTAACGTGAAGGAGTAACTATTACATATGACAACGATATTATTCTATCTGATAAGAATAACCATGAAACTACACTCGAAAGATAAAATATTTTTATAATAATTTCAATTTTACAAACAAACTACAGGAGTTATATTTTGGGACGGATGAATGATAAGGAAGCAACAAAAAGTGGTCACGAGTGCAAATACGGGGGGGGGGGGGGAGGGGGGTACAATATAACGAACGCCAGAAACGATTATTTGTTTACTTTTCAGATTCCTTATCAAATCTCTCTCTCTATCTCTCTCTCTCTCTCTCGCTCTCTAACAATGTACAGATTGTGGACTTTACTATTTAAGTTTTCCTGCAATTATTTCAGTTCAATCCCATACCTATTCTTATGGTTTCCTATCTATTATTTTTCAAAATAAATAGTAAAGCAGGTTAAACTATTTTTTATTTTATTTTCTTGAAACCAAACACTCTTTACCATCCGGTATTCTGCAGAGTCAAATGTTTAACACTGTGTTTATAAAAATTGAATGGCCACACAATTTTGTGTTTTATTTTTTTTTACTAATAGTAACTGGGATATTTATATATACCAATAAGTGCTGCAAGCTGTAATAAATGCTGCTGATTAATATCAAAATAAGTTATAATTTATTTTGTATAATACATCGGTCATTGAATACAAACCATATAATGGGTTTTCTATTTGTAACTTTAACTTGCAAATACAGTAGAACCTCGCTTAACTGGAGTCGCATCATCATGATGCCTATATATTATATAACCTCAAAAATCCCAAGAAAATGTTTTATTAACTGTGTTTTTCAGTCTTATATTTCGATATGAACGATATATTTAACTATTTACGGTAATTTTTATGTGCAGTAGGTTCCCAATTATTGAAATATTACAGTTCATTTAACAAAAATAAGATGG